AACCATCTCTCCAGCCCACCCTCCCCGCACCATACTACCTCCTGCAGCTCAACAGGGCTCGCACAAAGAGCCAAAGATATAAAAACGTTACCCTGATGGCATTCGAGAATCAGCAAAAATAAACATCTCTGATAGAGAGGGGAACCGCCTAGATCTGCTGACTGCTACTATTATTGACCTACGTTTTACATGTTTTCATTTGTGCTGTAAGCGTACTATAGCGAGCCTTGCCTTAAGCTGGACTTGGCCCTACGTGTTCAACTTTTTGTGTTTTATTCACGACAGTTAGATATTTATTTGTTATTCTTGTTTTGTTAGATTTCGAGCTCCATGCAAGGAAACTTGAGTAGATATGTATATCTATGTACAATGACAGATATGCATGAGATTAAAAGGATATACACAAAATACATGTATGTGTACGTTAATGATATATATATATATATATATATATATATATATATATATATATATATATATATATATATATATATATATTGCGCTTCCACTCCCTGCAGGAAGCCTCCCAGGGCTCACACACTGCAGGAAGCCTTCCGGGGCTCAAACACTGCACGAAGCCTCACGGAGCTCACACACTGAAGGAAGCTTCCCAGGGCTCACACACTGCAGGAAGCCTCCAGGGCTCACACACTGTAGGAAGCCTCCAGGGCTCACACACTGCAGGAAGCCTCCCAGGGCTCACACACTGCAGGAAGCCTCCCAGGGCTCACACACTGCAGGAAGCCTTCCGGGGCTCACACACTGCAGGAAGCCTCCCAGGGCTCACACACTGCAGGAAGCCTCCCAGGGCTCACACACTGCAGGAAGCCTCCAGGGGCTCACACACTACAGGAAGCCTTCCGGGGCTCAAACACTGCACGAAGCCTCACGGAGCTCACACACTTCAAAGAAACAAGACGGAATCCGGTGCACGTTTGAATGCTCCTGGAACCCGGGTCAGGACTTGCACTCTTCCAGTACAATTGCGCTCCATTCACAAGGACCAGTCAAGGCGGGATTATCTTTTCAGTTGTAAGCGCCAGCGTGTCTTCGCGAGATATTGCATTCTTTGAAGAACAGTCACGTGCAACGAGACTTCTCTGCCAGTGCTTTGCCATTTCCGTTTCTAGGAATAGATTTTGGAATTGCATAAAATAACGTTTCTTTTACCCGGCCACAACCGTAGGCCAGCGAGTCCATCCGAATATTCATTGTGGGATGTTGTGTGACGCCTCTTCCCAGTGTGGTGGGATCTACAGCTCGGATGTGTCGATATGTGGCCAGGCATGTGTCCAGGCATGTGTCCGGGCATGTGGCCAGGCATTCAGTCAGGCATGTGACCAGGTATGTGGCCAGACATGTGTCCAGGCATGTGTCCAGGTATGTGTCCGGGCATATGGCCAGGCATGTGGCCAGGCATGTGGCCAGGCATGTGACCAGGTATGTGGCCAGACATGTGTCCAGGCATGTGTCCAGGTATGTGTCCGGGCATGTAGCCAGGCATTCGGCCAGGCATGTGTCCAGGTATGTGTCCGGGCATGTGGCTAGGCATTCGGCCAGGCATGTGTCCAGGTATGTGTCCAGGCATGTGTCCAGGCATGTGTTCAGGCATGTGTCCGGGCATGTGGCCAGGCATTCGGTCAGGCATGTGACCAGGTATGTGGCCAGACATGTGTCCAGGCATGTGTCCAGGCATGTGTCCAGGCATGTGTCCGGGCATGTGGCCAGGCATTCGGCCAGGCATGTGTCCAGGTATGTGGCAAGACATGTGTCCAGGCATGTGTCCAGACATGTGGCCAGACATGTGTCCAGGCATGTGTCCAGACATGTTTCCAGGCATGTGTCCAGGCATGTGGCCAGACATGTGGCCAGGCATGTGTCCAGGCATGTGTCCAGGCATGTGTCCAGACATGTGTCCAGGCATGTGTCCAGGCATGTGTCCAGACATGTGTCCAGGCATGTGTCCAGGCATGTGTCCAGACATGTGTCCAGGCATGTGTCCAGGCATGTGTCCAGGCATGTGTCCAGGCATGTCGCCAGACATGTGGCCAGGCATGTGTCCAGGCATGTGTCCAGGCATGTGTCCAGACATGTGTCCAGACATGTGTCCAGACATGTGTCCAGGCATGTGTCCAGGCATGTGTCCAGACATGTGTCCAGGCATGTGTCCAGGCATGTGTCCAGGCATGTGTCCAGACATGTGTCCAGGCATGTGTCCAGGCATGTGTCCAGACATGTGTCCAGGCATGTGGCCAGACATGTGTCCAGGCATGTGTCCAGGCATGAGGCCAGGCATGTGTCCAGGCATGTATCCAGACATGTGGCCAGGCATTCGGCCAGGCATGTGTCCAGGCATGTGTCCAGGCATGTGTCCAGGCATGTGGCCAGGCATGTGTCCAGGCATGTGGCCAGGCATTCGGCCAGGCATGTGTCCAGGCATGTGGCCAGGCATGTGTCCAGGCATGTGTCCAGGCATGTGCCCAGGCATGTGTCCAGGCATGTGGCCGTGGGGTTGGGGGTGGGGTGTGGCGTGGAGGGGAACATGGGTGAGATGGGCACGATAAGAGTGTCGTGGGATGGGTATTCATGGCAAGGGGTAAGGGTGGGAAGGGGGGGTTAAAGAGCCTAGGGTAAGGAGTCCTTGAAGGTAAGGAGTCTGAAGCACCACTAAAGGGCTCGCTACCTCACTTGATGAGTGGCCCGGAGAGCCTGATCACTGAGGGCCATCTCGTCACCATCTTGACACTGCGGCTGCTCTCAAAGGCTTCTTTCAATCTTCTGATCGCTCACTTTATAAGCATCTTCACAGATCTTTTCCTCTTTCTTAACGATGGGGTAGAGAAGCTCATAATATTAAAGGACAGGACGATTTTAGGACGAACTAAAAATAGCGAACCTTTTGCAGACGACGAGTTCCAATAACGTGGCTGAAGATATGAGGACAACATCAGATATCAGAAGATAAGGAGACGACGACGTTTCGGTCCGTTAATAATCATTATCAAGTCGATTATCATAATGGTTTATTATCATAATCGACTTGATAATGGTCCAGGAAGGACCGAAACGTCGTCGTCTCGTCATCTTCTGGTGTGTAGGGAACCTCAGGGGAACCTTTTACTAATGTTTTTTTTATTTTTGAGATATATACAAGAGTTGTTACATTCTTGTACAGCCACTAGTACGCGTAGCGTTTCGGGCAAGTCCTTAATCCTATGGTCCCTGGAATACGATCCCCTGCCGCGAAGAATCGTTTTTTCATCCAAGTACACATTTTACTGTTGCGTTAAACAGAGGCTACAGTTAAGGAATTGCGCCCAGTAAATCCTCCCCGGCCAGGATACGAACCCATGACATAGCGCTCGCGGAACGCCAGGCGAGTGTCTTACCACTACACCACGGAGAATGATAAAACTGACTGGTTTGTATAATTTTGTCTACAACAGCCATCACTTCTGTGTTGCCCAAGAGGCCGGCCTCCAGACCTGAAGGACAGGTCTATTGCAAGTGATTATAACAGGGAATGATGGTGGCCAATTCAATAGTTATAATAGATCGGTGCAAAGTTAGCAGTTGCAACAGGTCGGTATAACAGTTGAGGGAACAACAACAGTAGCGGTATTTAGTCAGAGTAACGCATGTAGTTGTGATAGGAGATTAGGTTACTGGTAAGAGGATTAAACCTTCCTTCTTGTTAAATTTATTTGCTGTTTAACAGTTAACGAGGTGATGCTTATTATGGATATTTGATTGTTCTAAGTGAGGCTTTAAGCGACCGTAGAGTGTTAATGCAATTTTCGGTTTCTGTGGTCACTGCTACCTTCCCTGGAAACACAAACCGAAACTGTCTCTATTTTCCGCTTGTTACAACTTGTAGTAAAGTTGTTACATCTTGGCTTAACGTGTTTATGACGTATTAGAACGTTGTTACAACTTGCTATATTGGTTGTTATAACTGGTTAGGAAGTGTTAAAACTTGTTCGAACGTTGTACCAACGTCGTAGTTTCGGTGTGTGTTTGGCGGGTTATTCAATCTTGTGTTGTTGATATCCTCAAAATGCATCCGGAGTCTGCCAGTGCAGACCGCTTATCACATGCCTCTGTATGACTAACCATCCTGTGTGATGGGGATTTTTTAGCATCACCTAGTTAGCTTTTTTGACACACTGTACTCCACTTCATATAGTCTATAAAAGCTGCACTAATGCAGATGTACCTAATGTATTAATAATAAAAAAATGTGGCTTCAACTTTTCTCTCTTGATGATCTCTTTCTTCTTCTACTTCTTCGCGAGCCGTGCAATTTGCATGGAGGGTTTGTCCTCCCGATGACTGCACAAGTGGTCATGGTGCAAGATGCGGCACTCTCAGCGGTGCATCAATGGCCATGACTTGGCAGAGGTTATCTTGAGATGATTTCGGGGCTTTTAGTGTCCCCGCGGCCCGGTCCTCGACCAGGCCTCCACCCCCAGGAAGCAGCCCGTGACAGCTGACTAACTCCCAGGTACCTATTTACTGCTAGGTAACAGGGGCATTCAGGGTGAAAGAAACTTTGCCCGTTTGTTTCTGCCTCGTGCGGGAATCGAACCCGCGCCACAGAATTACGAGTCCTGCGCGCTATCCACCAGGCTACGAGGCCCCACTTGGTTGGAAGGTATCGATGTCTTCTACTTGAGGATAAAGAGAACAATAAACATATGAGTGGAAATGGAATCAGGATGTCAGAGATGAGTAGTTGTGTTGATGGTGGTAGCACAGTGTTGGGTTTAGTCAAGAGAATGAGTTTGTGAGTTGAAGCATGTTTGGGAGTTAGTTACAAGCTTGATGATATGTAGCTTTACCAGATGGTATCAGATGGTAGCGGTCAGTATTATGGGTAGCATCCTGGAGATGGTCAGTAGTTGACCTAGTAAATGTGAGAGAAAATAATTCGGGGGTCATGAACATTAGAGCACCAACGGTTAGAAAGGCGGGGTCCAACAGCTAACAGCTCGATTTTG